ATCCTAAATTTTTGTATTCACATTATTACTCATATGTAAAATTATATTAAAAAATAATATAAAAAACTATTCTAAAATTGTTTCTAATTTTTAATGATTTGCTACTCGATCATTAAATAAGTGCTTATTTTTTTACCATTCATAGGGTTCGACGTAGGGATGTCAACGGGGCCCCGCGGGGCCGGGGAGTGCCTCCCCATCCCCGTCCCCGCAAATGGCGGGGAAGGGGATCCCCGCGGGGATTTTTGACGGGGGGCAGATTTTGCCCCCCGTCCCCGTTCCCCGCGGTGAATGGGGATCCCCGCGAGGATCCTCATTCCCCACCAATTAATAACAAAGTATATATTTTTTACATCAAACATAAATAAAAATTAATTTAATACAAATAATTAAATCAACAAAATTGTTCCAAATAGAGATTAATCCAACATAAAGCAACATGTTCCAAACATAAGTTGTTCCAAATATACATAGAAATTAATCCAACATAAAGCAATATACTTGTTCCAAATATAAGCAAAAATCAACCCAACATAAAGAGGTTCTTGAAACAAAACTATAACAATTTCTTGATTGTTAGCAATCACTCATCTTCAGCAATTCTGCCCTTCTCGCTAACATAGATACCATCAAGGAATTTCCTAATGTCTTTGTTCTTGACATGACATTTCTGTTCAAAACAAATTGAAGGCCAACCAGATTATGAGACAAAGACATTACAGAATATTGTAAACTTAATCACACAAACAAAAGTGCTGATGGGGCTGGAAGGATGATTGTTGGCAGAGCCCATAAAATAAACTTAAACAAAAGCTAGCGCACACAGAATGAAAGTACCTGGTTTATCAAAGCAGCTGAGCGTGAAACCAGCTCAATATCATTCCCATCCAATACGATTTCATCCTTGACCTTCTCAGATCGAAGGATGGAAACACCCTCAAGCATATCCACTTTGCGAACCTAAAGTTCATCAGAGAAAATATTTCTATTAACACAAGGCTTATGCATGACATCTTGTTTATTATGGTTAGACTATCCTCTTTCTATACCATAAATATATAAACCCATATGGAATAAATCAATTGGAACCTACAACACAGAGTAAACATGATATAAAAACATAACTTTTACAGTTCCCTTAGTAAAAATTCATCAATTTCAATCACATTGAATGCTTGTCCACAATTTTGTTAAAAAAACAAATGGTAAACACTAAATAAAGATGCAATCTTAAAACCCACCACTCAAAGGCAAATTACTTCTAACAAATTGAACAAATTACTTTCTACAACAAAAATGAAGGAAATGACACAATAAATCATATTAAATCAAGATATAAACATATACATAACAAACGAAATGCATAAGAAGCAGAAAAAGAGAGTACCTTCTTCTCGCCCAAAAAGTTGCGGATCTCGATGGACTTGTTGCCATTGGTGATGGAAGCGTTGATGGGAAAGTGAGCGTAGACGAACCTCATCTTGTAGCGGTAACCCTTAGTGACGCCAGTGATAAGATTCTCTACATGACTAAGGGCGGTACGGATGGCAGCGCTAGGGGTCCGGCACAGTGCAGCAAGCAGAGGGGTCCGGCACAGTGCAGCAAGCAGAGGGGTCCGGCACAGTGCAGCAAGCAGAGGGGTCTGGCACAGTGCAGCAAGCAGAGGGGGTCCGGCACAGTGCAGTGCAGCAAGCAGAGGGGAGTCCGGCACAGGAGCAGATCTGCAAACTGCAGCTAACAGCTTTGACAGCAGCTTCAGGAGCAGATCTGTAGCAGCTCCAACAACAGATATGTAGTAGATCTGTAGCAGCAAGAAGGGGAGAGGAAGGTTGAAGGTGAGGTGAGACTTGAGAGGTTGATTGTTCGGCTGAGACCAAGAGTGAGTGAGGGATTGTGGCTGCGTGCGTGAGTGACAGAGTGAGGAGAAAATGAGGGGAAATGAATAAAGTTGAAGTTATGAAATTAGGGTTAGAACTTGTAAAGACTAAGGAGAGGATGCTGGAATGGATTGTTGGGTTGGCCGGATGGGTAACATGGGTTGGCCGGTTG